AAAATGAGGACCCAGACTGGTAAAAATGAGGACCCAGACTGTGGGGGCGATATGCTGACTCTGTAAACCGCTTAGAGAGGGCTGAAAGCCCTATGAAGCGGTATATAAGTCTAACTGCTATTAAACTATAAGGAAATCCATAGCAAAGTTACATCATTTGATTTCAAGTAAAAAAAAGAAAAGAAAAGACTACTTGTAATAATAATAATAATAATAATAATAATAATAATAATAATAATAATAATAATAGTAATAATAATTTTAAAAAAGGAACACATTTCACGAGTACAAAAAGAAAAAGGAAGGAGTGTTTGCTGTTTAGTTCAGGTGTTTCAAAATGCTGCTGTAGGCCTTATGAGGGGATCTGGGGAGATGACTGGCTGGGGAATTCTGGGAGCTGAAGTCCACAAGTCTTAAAGTTTCCCAAGTTGGGACAGCCCTGACCTAAATGTTCACCCAGATGCCACATTTGCCCCAAGGCAAAATCTTGACCCCGAAAAAAAGAAATCTATGAACACTGGACCCCCACCGGCTGCAGAGGTGAACAGATGTTGCTCCAGATGGCACGCCTGAAATTCTGGCTCCATTCCGGTGCATTCACACCCCTCTGGGCAGAAATCCAGCCCGATTCCTTCCTCTTCTAGCATTCCTAATGCAGGGGAATCCATTCTTAGATCTTACTAAGCCTCGCTTTACACTGATTCAGACAACAATGGGATCACAACCCCCAAACCCACCCACCCCTTGCACCAGGCCACGAGGGAGTGAGAACCTGAGCAAAGATTCACCCATCCCAGCTGCCACCTTGGTCCAACCTGCCCTCCTCCAGCTGTGGCTTCTAGAGAGAAAGGAAGGCGTCATTCAAGGAGGTGGGCAGAAATAGAGGAGCAGAAGAAAGCATCCCGCCTTACATGAGGGACATCAACTGAGGGGAGTGTGCGATCTTCCCAGGAACATGGAGACCAAGAAGGACCATGGCTTCTTGAATCCCTTTGTCCAACAAAACAGAAGACTGGAAACCAGTAACTAGATCTGCTGTTTCCCAGTACCCATAAACGCAGCAGGAACCCTCAACTGAAGCTCTGAGGAGGAACACAACGGGGTTCCTTGGGAGGGCCCAAGGATCGCGTAGCAATTGGGGCAGGAGGTTTAACACAACCCTCTGGGTTCGCACGCCTAGCCTCGGTGCTTAGGAGACCCCCCCACCCACAACATTGGAACGGACCAGGGTCCCTTTGCCAGAGGCCAGCAAGAAGGGAGAAGAAGTCTCTCCGTTGGACAACAAGAGTTGGCCAACCATCAGAAGATGCCTGAAAAACGTAGTCGGTGAAAAAAAGAATGGGCAGGTAGAAGAGAGGGAAGGACGTCTTCCGTCTCGATCCGTCTCCCATCGTAGACGGCGGAAGGGTCTTTGTCTTCAGAAGAAGCTTGAAACCGTGGAGACGGGGGCCCCAGGGGCCCCGTGGAAGCTGACCCCTTGCGTCCACTCTCTCGCACCGCCTCCTTCCGGGGTTGGGGGTCCCCCTTCAGAAGCCCTTGATGTGGCAGTAGGCCTCCAGGCCGGCAAAGAGGATGTAGATGAGCCACAGGCCCACGAAGAGGCAGGTGGTCAGGATTTTGGCGGTTTGGGGTCCCCCCAGCTCTCCCCCTATGTGCGGCCGCCGGCGGTACATGAGGACGCTGATGCAGACGAAGGCAAAGATGGTGAAGAGGGTGACGGAGAAAGCCAGCGTGCCCGTCTGCACCTCGAAGTTCTTGCCTTGGAAAGCCCAGTAGATGGCCGCCACCGACCAGGCCACCCCCAAGCCCAGGAAGACGTTGACCGCGTTGCTGCCCGTCACGTTGCCGATCGACGCATCCGCGCACTGGTCCTGCAGGGCGGCCACTTTGCTGGCGAAGGTATCTGCGGAAAGAGGAGAGCGTTGAGCGTGTACGACAGGGGTGTCCGACTTAAGGCCCGCGGGCTGGATCCGGCCCTCGCGGCCCCTCCTGGTCTACCCAATGGGGATGTCAGGCCTGGAAGCCATCTTTGCATGGGGCCTTGAGGGCTGTCACATTTCCTGCTGTGGGAAAATGGGAGGGGGGATTATATGCAGTGGGGGAGATATGTAGCCTAAATCTGTGATAAGAGCCGAGGTGGCGCAGTGGTTAAATGCAGCACTGCAGGCCACTTCAGCTGACTGCAGTTCTGCAGTTCGGCTGTTCAAATCTCACCGGCTCAGGGTTGACTCAGCCTTCCATCCTTCCGAGGTGGGTAAAATGAGGACCCGGATTGTTGTTGGGGGCGATATGCTGACTCTGTAAACCGCTTAGAGAGGGCTGGAAGCCCTATGAAGCGGTATATAAGTCTAACTGCTATTGCTATTGCTGTGATGGTGAACCTAGGACACGCGTGCCAGATGTGGCACGAAGGGCCCTCTCTGTGGGCATGCATGCCCTTGCCAGCTGCTCCTTCGTTTTTTGGCATGCCTGGTTTCCAGCTGGCCTTTGGGGGCACCGGAACACCAGGAAACAGCCTGAAAACAGCCCGAAAAATGGCCAAAAATGCACCCAAAACAGGCTGGTTTTAGAGCCGTTTTAAGTCTCTTCTCAGGCCTGAAAACGGCCAAAAAGAAACGGTCCTCGTAAGTGTGAAAAACAATCCCGTCACTTTTCCCAGTAAGTCACTAAACGGATGATTGCAAGTTGCTCAGTTTTTAACCGACTGGAGTTTGATTTTTCCGCCTGATTTTCCAGCAGAAAATACAAAAAAACAAACCAACCCCAAAAATAATCCATCCCATCGATTGGAAACGTTGAATTCATTTCTTCATTCCTCCCGGTTCGGTTAAGGACCATGGGATTCATTTTACGACCTTCCTAAAACAGTTGTAAAATCGACACAAGGTGCCTCGGCTGATAACCGTAATGCCTTACGACCAGTGGTGGGTTCCTAAACCAGTTTACTACCAGTTGGCTGAGAGAGGACATTCTGTGCCCGCATAAAAATTTGCGGCTGGCTTCGCTTGCGCCTCTGTGTGCCGTGCATTACTGCACATGCGCAGTTTACTAAAAACTGTTCTGCACATGTGCAGAAACAGGCCGGCAACTGGAGGAGAAGAGACCAGGGAACCAGTTCGGGGATGTGGCAGGCCTGGGTCACTGCTGGTTCCGGCAACCGAGGCCGTCCAACCACTAACCAGGCCGAATTGGTAGCAACCCACCACTGCATACGACCAAAATTCAAGACTCCGTGACGGTTGTAAATCAAGAACCACCCCCGGAAGTGGCTGGCTGGGCTATGGGCCTTGTGACGAATAGGGCAGGTAGGTAGCGCACCTGGGATGGAGGTGCCCAAGGCCACAAAGACGACCGCGTTGACGGAGTCCTTCAGCCCCACGGTGCAGCCGAAGTGGGAGGCCAGGTCGCCGATCAGGGCGGTCAGCATGCCGATGACCAGAATGCTAACACTGAAGCAGGCCCAGCCGTTCCAGTACTCGGTGGGCGGCACGCAGGCGAAGAGAACCTTCCAGAAGACGGTCAGGAAGTGCATGACGTAGTCGAAGCAAGATGGCAGCCTCTCCTCCCTCCCGTCTTCATCCTCGTCCTCCACACCTGGGGAGAAGAAGGATACCTGAACCAGACGCTCGGTCGAGCAGGGGGGGCAGAAAAAGATGGGTCGGGAGTTGTGATCCGAAGATGGACAGTGGTGTAAAACAGGTCCTTCCCATGAGGTCCTTGGTGGTCTCTGACTTTGAGGGGGGTGGGGTTCAGGAGGAGGAGGAGGAGGACAACGACAACAACAACAACTATGGGGGTCCTTGATGGTCTCTGAGCTTGATTCCTTTCCTGCAGACATTTCATTAACAAGCTAGGTAACACCATCAGTGCTAGAGGAGGAGGAGGAGGAGGAGGAGGAGGAGGAGAAAGACTATGGGGTCCCTGATGCTCTCTGAGCTTGGCGGTTTTCTTGCAGACATTTCATAACCTAACTAGGTAACATCATCAGTATTAGTAGGGAGTGGAGTTTGCTCTCATTTTGTATCTAGTAGCCCTGTCCGTGTTGGTGGGAGTGTTCTTGATGGTTCCTTGATGATAGAATGAGAGGAAACCCCACTCCCTTTTAGCACTGATGATGTTACCTAGTTTGGTAATGAAATGTCTGCAAGAAAACGACCAAGCTCAGAGAGCACCAAGGACCCTATATTCTTCCTCCTCCTCCTCCTCTTCTTCTTCCTCCTCCTCTTCCTCTCCACAAACCCCACTCCCTTCTAGCACTGATGAGGTTACCTAGCTGGGTCATGAAAGGTCTGCAAGAAAATGGCCAAACACAGAGAGCACCAAGGATCCCGCAGTTCAACCCTGAGCGGCATATATTCTCTTCCATTGGAACTTCACAGCTGTACGTATACCTGGGAACCACCTGCCACTTGAAACTGATGGGCTGCCATTGCAATCAGTTGAGTCAAGGTTTGGAGCGTTATTTCATTAACCTTTTTGGCNGGGGCGATATGCTGACTCTGTAAACCGCTTAGAGGGGGCTGAAAGCCCTATGAAGCGGTATATAAGTCTAACTGCTATTGCTATTGCTATTGTCTCTTTTAGGTCCTTGGGAAGGACTCAATAGGTGGATAAAAATGCCAAGTCCAGTATGAACAACTTGGTCGCATTGTCAGCCAGATGTTCAGACTGGGTTTGGCATTTTTATCCACCTATCGAGCAGACAACAATCATATCACTATTTCTTATTTTAAAAAATAAGCCACCAGAGAATGAGCCCAGAAAGGAATAGGGAAATTACCTTCTGCTGAATGAGACCATCTACCTGGTCTTGTCTGGCAGAAATTCTCCATGAGTGCTCTTATTTTATTTATTTATTTATTTATAATTGAATTTATATTGCCGTCCATTCGCCCATGGCGAATCAAAGTGACTTACAAAGTATAAAACCCCATTTAAAACAGTACAACTAATAAAAAGACTCCAATAAATTAATATAATAAAATCACCTTCTATAATAAAATCTCTTATTAAACAACAGTTCTTGAACATGAGATACATTGAAAAAGCACACAAGCAGCCTGAGTTTCATATGATGAAAGTCACGTATATATGCTGCAAACTCCACATAGGCATCAGGAAGGGCATCTGGCTAGCAAATACTCGGCTCCATCCAGTCCAACGGTTCTTGAACATGAGATACATTGAAAAAGCACATAAGCAGCCTGAGGTTCACATGATGAAAGTCACGTATATATGCTCCAAACTTCACATAGGCATCAGGAAGGGCATCTGGCCAGCAAATACTCGGCTCCATCCAGCCCCCCTCACTCTCACTCGAATTAATGGATTATGAGGGGGGAAAAAATCCCTTCTACACCAACTATTAATTTTTGTATGCAAATGTTAGCAACTGAGTCCAGAATTTCAACAAAGACCATTACATTGTTTCACGTCTGTCATTAATCAGGCTTTTACCATTTTTGTCAAAGCACATTCATCTACAACGAGACAATTGAATCTGGATGCCTGTATTTGTCATTTGCTGAGTATCATCAGAACGCTAAGCCTTTGAAGGCAATTAAAACTGTTGTTTGATTAAGGAATGTTGTGGTGGCATTTTTCATCCATCCTTGAGATATATATTCATGATATTTAATACCCATACAGATTTTTCACACCAAACATACCTCTTGAAGGAAAACTGTACGTTATGCTGCTGAACTAAATATATCAACAACAACATCATTAGAACTGTTACTGTAAGACTTCCCCCCCCCCTTAAAGTAACTATTGACCTATATATAAAGGTTATTAATAACAATAACAATAAAAAAGAACAAAATTAGACACAGCTAAGCTTCAACTAATAGGGGGGAAATGTTATGATATAGGATATAGTTAAATAAAGAAAGGATAATGATAATAAATTATATATATGGAAGATTAGAAAATTTTGGTATTAAATATGGATGTTTAGCTAGAACAGGATATGAGGATATAATGTTAATGGGGGATTTTATGAATAAGCAAATGAAATGTCAGTATGTGGTTATGTATTAAATCTTGGTATATTTTAGGATGAAGGACA